GAGGCGGCGAGGGAGAGGCGGCGAGGTGAGGAGAGACGGGGCTCCCTCCAGCCCTGTGACTCGCGGGGGCCTCTGGGCATGTGCAGAGTGCCGCCGGGGTGGGGGGAAGGAGGAGGGGTTGGAGGAGCGCCTTCAGATCCCTTCAGGGAGGGACACACACACACACACACAAAACAAACCCTCCCCCTCACACACTCTTACGGTTTTTATACACGCATCCATATTGATTTATTTATGTATTTATAATGGGTTTTTTTTTTTGCCCCCCGCCTTTCTCCTTGAGGCGCCTCTGACAGCCCAGGCGGTCGAGAGCCCTGGCAGGCCCGAATCTCAAGTGGAAAGCAAGGAGTCAACAAGCGGGGGGGGGGGTTCAGGCCTTTGAAAGGCAGCATTTAGAAAGGAGAAGCATCGGGTATAAAGAGGCAGCTTTTGTCGCTGAAAGGCAATATCAAGGCAAAGATCCATCAGTATCCAAAAATCTTTTAAAACTACAGTAATACTCTGAGACATGGCAAACAATAGATAGAGGGAAGGAAGGAGGGAGGGAGGGATGGATAGATAGATAGAGTATTTATTTATTTATGGCTTGGATGGTGCGCTGACGCTTCTGGCCTTCTCTTGTCGCAGGGATGACAGCGCCTCCCTCTCAGCACTCAAGCGCTTGGAGCGCAGCCAGCGCACGGATAAGATCGATGCGCAGTTTGGGTTCGAGAGGGTGAAGGAACCTGGAGAAAGGACCGGCTGGCTGATCAACATGCACCCTGTAGGTACCGCCCTTCCTCTCTGTTAGTGCCTTCGGACTGCAGCTCAGCCAGGGTCGTTTTACTGAATGTACCTACTGCATATAGGACTGTCTTTCCTGCGTTCAGTGTGGGGGGGCATTTTGTTCATGCTCTGAAAGACAACTGGTGACCCAATATCTAGAAATACAGTAGTAGTAGGAATGTGGATGGAATGACAGAATCAAAACAAAAACGGTTTTCTGTCCCTTCTTCTATTGATTTCCACTGAGCAGGAAGTTGGACTTGATGACCTTGTAGGCCTGTTTCAGCTCCATAATCCAGTGGATCCATGATTTAGGCAGTAGGGATGGTTTCTTTGAAAAGAATGATTGTTCTTGTTACTATGTCCACCCTGTTCAAGGAGCTCCACAGGCTGCCGAACCATTTCTGATCACAATTCAAAGTGCTTGCTTTAACCCACTGGTTCCCAGAAGCCTTCACCATCAGCTCTGCGTTTCAGCTCCATAATCCAGTGGATCCATGATTTAGGCAGTAGGGATGGTTTCTTTGAAAAGAATGATTGTTCTTGTTACTATGTCCACCCTGTTCAAGGAGCTCCACAGGCTGCCGAACCATTTCTGATCACAATTCAAAGTGCTTGCTTTAACCCACTGGTTCCCAGAAGCCTTCACCATCAGCTCTGCTGGCTGAGGTTTCTGGGAGTTGCAGTTCAAAAACACCTGAGTAACAAAGATTAAGAACCACTGCTTTAACCTATGAAGCCCTAAACAGCTTGAGTCCAAGCGATCTCAAAGACCATTTTTCCCTTTATGAGCCTGCTTGGGCATTGAGATCCTCAGGAGAGATGTTTCTCTCGATCCCTCCACCTTCACAGGTGAGTAGGTGGCGTCACGGGAGAGGGCCTTCTCTGTAGCTGCTCTCAGGGACTCTGGAACTCTCTTCCACTATAGGCCAGCTTGGCCTCGTCTTGGCTCCTCTTCCACAAACTGGTGAAGGCTTTTCTCTTCAGGGAAGCTTTCCTTTTGACCAAGGGGATTTTTTTATTTGTTTGATCCTTTTTAATATTTGTATACTCACAGTTGCTAGCTTTCACTGGTGTCTTTCAATGATGTCAGCTGTCTTGCGTCCTTTTTTTAGGGGAAAGACTAGTTAAAAATATGTTAAATAAATAAATTATCCTACGATGCTGAGAGAGAAGTCACTGAGGTCTTGTCAGACTATGCCATACTATATTCTGACACCATAACCCTATGTTTGGAGACGCACATCATGACGGACCTCTCCAGAACTGAATAGCAGTGCCAAACCAATAGTCATCGGAGCACCTTTCCACCCTGTTTTGTCCTGGCTGTAAAATAGCCAGGTGAATTTTGGTGCTTGGCCATGCATCCTCACACGCAGGATGACATCACAATAATATGTAGTCAGGTGACCTGTTCAGAGTGATGTCACAAATGGAAACACCCACATGACCTGCCTTGAATGACATCACAGTTATCCACATCAGGAGGCAGAAGAGCCCCAGTGTTTTCATTTGGTCGAGAGGTGGCATGTTTGCTCTCCATGAACAGGAGCCTCGACTTCATCACACGCAGAGAACTTGATTGCAAAAGCAGCCAGAAATATTCGAGCTAATTTTCTGAAAGCCATTGCAATCAATTGTGTGGGAGATTCCCAGATATGAAGGGTCTCTTATTATTTTATATGTCTTTGATTTTATAATGATTTTATCTGACCACTACTGTATTTTAAACAATTGTGCTAATACAATAAACTTGAACTGACTGACTGATTGACTCCTCTTTGGTGGGTGTGGAAACTCTTTAGTTCTGGAGGCTGAGAATTTGGCCGGTCTGGAGCCAATCCTCTTAGAGCAGAGGTTCCCAACCTTGGGACCCCAGGTGTCCTTGGACTGCAATTCCCAGAAGACTTCGCCACTGACTGTGCCAGCTGGGGATTTGGGCGGTCACAGTCCAAGACCCTTTTGGGAAGCCAAGGTTGGGAACCACAGTCCTAGATGGAGAGGAGTGTGTGGGGCTCACATCACAATCTCTCTCATTTGTGGCCTTGTCTGTTTTAGACAGAGATTTTGGATGACGATAAATGTTTGATTAGTGCTGTGGATTACTATTTCATTTCATTCAATGGAGGCAGGTTTAAGGTGAGTTTGCGTCTGAAGAGGAGACTAAGGTTCTTTGAGATTGATCCTTGCGGGCCCCTTAAAAACCCTGTTGGAAACCTGAGGAGTGAGCACAGTAAAATAGTGCACGGCGGCATTTCAGCGGGCATTTTAATGCAGGCAAAAACAGTCGTGCGTTC